TGTCACCAGCCAGGTGTCACGCTCCAGGGTGTCCCTGACGTATCGGGTGAAGTCGGCGCACAAGCTGAAGCTCACGGACAAGCAGCTGCTGCAGTGGCTGTTCCCGATTCTGCTCATTATGGTAAAGAGTCGGCGACTAGACATTGGGTGCAACTGCTCGTCGACGTGACTCAATTCACGTGTTGGGTGAACGTTTTTAAATGCAGAACGCAGACTGCCGACCGGTGTCAGTTGTGTGACCTGTTTCAGTCGGTGGTTCTGCTTCATTCGGCGAAATTGTTTCTTGTCCAGTTGAAAGGCCTGGATCCAGTTGGAGACTGGTAAAAGTGGGCTGCCTTGTGTTCGTCGGCAGACTAGTGTCCTTTTGGCAGATTTCGCCACTTTCACTTCGCAGCCCTGCGTTAGTTCGCATACGTGTCTGTTGTAGTGTAGTGTTGTAGTTGTAGTGAGGCCTGTATCAGCTGTCGGACCCGTGTCACCCCTCGCGACACCTGAATCGTGTCACTCCCCATGACACCTGACCTAGTTATTGACACCTGACCCGTTTCACCCCCCATGACACGGGACCTGTGTCACCTCCGGGGACACATGATCCGTGTCGTATTCCATGACACATGATCCGTGTCGCCTCCCATGACACCGAACCCTTGCCACCTCCCGTGTGTCCGTACGCTGCAGATCATCTACCTGAGCTCGTGGACCATCAGTGACCCTCCGAAGGCCGTCGTTGTGCGGGACGCCGAGGGCCTCCAGTTCCGGCAGTGCGAGTTCGGTTGGTGGGACCACTCCATAGCGGCAGGTCAGCCCACACCCCCGCCCACAGCCCAGTATGTCGTCACGAGCGTGACGACACCGGTCACGCCTGTGCTCTGACTCGTGCCAAACTGCTACAGAGGGGCAGAGCTTCATTCTTTTTCGATACTGACATGACATGAACTGACGGTGAACGCCAAACAATGGCTGTTTTGCCTGTCCTTCTGGTGTTTGTCCCACATCGGGCTTAGTTAGGCAAGCGCTTGGTCACGCGCACGTTCCTAATGAAACTCTGGTCGTCGCGGGCACGTGCCCGGCGGAATTGACGTCAGAGGAGCAGGTGTTGTAAACAATACCCTGAAACATCGGGTTTGCAGCCGCTCGATCAGGTCAATCGATCGGGTCAATTGATGCGGGCCGCCTGACTGCGCAGTTTCGCTCGGTACAGTCGTTATCAGGCGATTTTTATGACTGTTGCTATATGACGATGTAGTGAGTGTCGTTATATGACGATGAAGTGAGTGTCGTTATGTGACGATGTAGTGAGTGTCGTTATATGACGCATGTAGTGAGTGTCGTTTATGACGATGCAGTGAGTGTCGTTATATGACGATGTGTGAGTGTCACTATATGACGAGTTAGTGAGTGTCATTATATGAACGAGTGAGTGTAGTGAGTGTCGTTATTGACGATGTAGTAGTGTCACTATAGACGATGTTTGTAGTGTCATTATATGCGATGTAGTGAGTGTCGTTATATGCTGTAGTGAGTGTCGACGTGTATGTCGTATGTGGTGAGTATCGTTATGGTATGTGAGTGTCGTTATATGATGATATGTAGGGTGGGTGGTTATATGGCGGTGAAGTGAGTGTCGTTATACGGCGATGTAGTGAGTGTCGTCGTTTGAGAGTGTCGTTATGTGACGAGAAAGTGTCATTCCGAAAGTTTCTCTCTTGCACACACCATGCCGCGTAGTACAGCGCGAGATGAAATACCGCGGCCGTGAATTGAGGTTGATGACGGAGACTATATTTGTGCGGCAGGGGAGCTGCTGTTCCTCTTCTGGGGCATCAAGGTGTGCGTCAACGTGCGGAACGCGCAGACGCTGTTCGACGAGGCCAAGTACATCAGCTGGGCCATCTACAACATCGCCATCGTCAACATTACCATGGCCATGGTGCAGTGAGTGACGACTCGTGGTGGTGGGGTCAGCTGGCGACCGGCCACTAAACCGGTGACGTGGAACGGTGTTGTGTTGCGTTGCCACGGTGACCCGAAAACGCAGGAAGTGGAGGGCCCGGCGAGGACGCGAGGATACTGACGTGGAGCCTCGCGAGGCATTAACGCATACATGGAAACTGATGCATGGAGCGACTGACGCGTGGAGTAGCTCTGAACGCACGGCATGGAACTGACGGGCGGTTGGGACCTGGCACGACATGGAGCTGGAAGGTCGGGGGTATCCGGCATAAGGTGCGACGTGCAAACTGAAACGCTTGTGTGACTGCCACATGGCATGGACAATGACGCGCCAGGCGTGCTCAGACACTGCACGAGCTGACTTGTTTGCCAAACAGCTGTCGCCGCTGTAGGCTGAGCTGCGGCTGATGCTGCCTGCGGCTCTTTTCAGTTTGCTGGTGCCGTCCGGACCGGACGTGAAGTATCTGTGTGGCTTCGTGAGAACCCAGCTCAGCACCACCACCACCCATCGCACTCCTCCTGGCGCCCCAAGGTAGGAGATTCAACGGACTTCGTGAGGACCCAGCTCAGCACCACTAGCACCATCGCACTGATCTGACGCCCAAGGCAGGAGACTTAACGGTCTTCGTGAGGACCTAGATCAGCACCACTAACACCATCGCACTGATCCTGGCGCCCAAGGCAGGGAGAGCTGAACAGTCCTCGTCAACAGTGCTGTGCCTTTGTTTTTGGTGCCAGAGATAGGGTACGCACAGCACCGCCACCGAGGTGTCATGTGACCCACAGTAGTGCACTCTGGAGCCAGCCGGCGCCCCCCGCTGCGCTGGCCTACAACCCGAAGAAGGAGGCCTGATGGCCGCACACAGGTACCCGTTGGAATGATCTCATCATTCGTTCAGATGCTCGGTGCATAAGGTGGTGTACACAGTGTGCACACGGTGCCGTTATCACACTGGCCTGTTCCTCAAGGTAAGATACTTGGCCCTAACCTTAACGGAGTGTCTGTGGTATTCCCAAGCGGTATTTCTGGGAACGTCATAGAGCGATGGAAGGAAGAGTCGCGACATCTTGGATATTCGAATCCGCTCATGGCGTGCGTGCACAACAATTGGTTCCAAACCGTGTGAACTCGCTGAGCTGTGAGATTTGGAGGGCCCGCAAAGTCGTATTTGCTTCAAAAGTGTTTGGTGTTTTTTCTTCTTCACTGGCAATGAATGTCACCGATGGGCACACGATCTGCAGAGTGTAACAGTCTGCAACAATATCAATCACCTTTGCAGTTCATGACCTTAATCAATGTGTTGCAATGACTTAGGAAGACAATTTGCTACCATAGATCATGCTTTGACCACTTAGCGCACTAAATCTGATTCAGAACGTGATTTCGCGACAAAAGGGCTAAGTAGGTATCGTGTCATGTAAGGAAGTCGTGGCCTAAATGTAGCCTTGGATTCTTTAGCATAATGTGTAACCTGAGTTGGGCGTTCATCGGTTGACGCCAAGAGACCGAACCGACTGCGGCTGGTATTTCTGAGACACCATGCTGCCGACGTTTTTTGTCGACGAGATTGTTCAGTTTTGAACGAAATGGCGAGAGGTGCATGCCAGCCTCTTTTTCGCCACGCGGGCAAAAATAGCTCCCGGCTTCAGCGGAGATGTTATGTACACTGCATCACCAATGCCACTCTTATTGGCGCCGAGGCTGAAGCGTGCGCCTATCTAGCTGTACCACCTATGCTTTACATGATAGCGAAGTAGCGTGCTATGCAGTCTTATGCGTGCGTGGCAGCGCACCGTGTTCAGGAAGGGCTTCCCTCTTTATAATCGGTATATCCCGCCGCACGAAAACGACTGCATTCGTTTTTCTCTGCCACAGTCTTGCAATAATGATATCCACAAACGGTTTCCGGTCACCGGCTCCGTATTCCGCTTCTCCGTCATGAACCTCTCGTCTTATTTTGGCCTGGGGCGTGAGTGGTGCGCGGGTGAGAGGCCCTCCTGAAGAGAGCGTCTGCTACAGTTTTACAGAATCGCCGTCGGGCTCGGCGACGAATATGACGCACGGGCTCAGGCCCGCGGCGCCGCCGCCTCCTTCTACCTGAACGGCATCGAGCCAGACGAGGAGGACATCAGCATCTATCGGGAGAATGAAGAACTAAAGGTTCATACTCCCGCTCCTAGAGAGTTGCCTGAAAACTGTGAAATGTGAAATGTTGGTCAGTTGGGTTTCAGCATTTCCCGGTACACCAATTAAAAAGAAAGTGGAAGGTTTCTTGCTGCTGTCACATGCGAACAACAACACAGAACAGAAACTCGCCGTTTGTGGATAGCTGACAGTTTGAACAAGCCTAACTATGTTTGAAGGCACCTCGGTCCACCCGTCTTCTCCGTGACCTATGAAGGCACGTGACCTCTGCGCACAGCTCATGGGTTCCGCGTTAACTATGCCTCCTCTGCGAGCTGCCTTAACTACGGACGTCCGCGTTCTAGGCAAATTATACGACCTCTGTCGCCGGTGTTTGTCACTCGCCCCCGCACGTGTGCGGACACATGACCTTTGTCATGACCTGCATGACCTTTGCAAGCCGACTGACCTATAACCTGCGTCACCACAGGAGGAGGTGCAGAAGCTGGCGGCGCAGATCGAGTTCATGAAGATCGTGCACATGGAGGCCAACAACCGTCATCTGAAACCGCGGCGCGAGGGCTACTTCTCTCAGAGCGCGCCCGGCCGGCGGAAGTCGAGCATTGGCGCGGCGCTGCAGCTGGACGCCTACACCAGTCTGGGGCCCGACAGTCTGGCTCTCAGAGGCAACGAGGTCTGATGGACGGCCCGCAGTCTTGCCGGAGAGAGTCTGGCGGAGCCGGCAGGCGGGGGCGAAAGTCCGTTGGATGTGAGCACTCCACCGGACAGACAGACCGAGGGTCCGTCGTGAGTGGGCCCTCCGCCGGACAGACAGCGGTCGATTGTCCTCGTGAACATGCAGTTTCCTTGCCAGACTGAGGGAGGGGAAGGGGAGCGATGAGGCGCTGGCGCACTCGCAAGG